CAAATTCCCCCAGGCTATAAGGTTTTATGCCATACCCCAATTCTCTGGTATATTCCCCAAGCTGGGAAACAGGGAGAAATTCCTTATAAATGAAGACCATATTCTGTTTTCTTACTCCTGACTCCAATGTAGAGACAGAATGCTTTCAGAAAAAGTCGGCTGCATTCAATTTTAACACATGATGCCCATATGCTCTCAATGTGTCATTTTGGGTTTTTCTCTGAAAGAACTTGGTTTTAGGAATCTGATTAGTACATGTGATGAAACAATAATTTCTGGGATTCCAGGGTTTGGCAGAGACTAACATGGAATGGAATGAGGTGTGAAAACTAACAGTGCCCACTTAATTATACATCTCACACTTTAATCTCATTGCATTATGCAACACGTTTTACAGTTTAGGTGGTATCCCTTGTGTTCCTTAGCAAACTCATTATCTACCCTGAGTTACCAGGTTTTCCCCAACAGGATGACGTTAAATTAATTTTTTCTTTTAATTTTTCTTCTTGCTTTACCCAGTAGTCAGAAATATGGTTTCACAGCATAGCATACAGTATAGTAGTCCAGCTGTATGTTCACTTTCTGCCTGCTAACATCTGCTTGTGCTGATCACAGCCTCCCTTAATCCGCTCAGCAGAGGGAAACACAATGTAGAGGTCTATACTGGGTTTAACCAGGAGGAAAATGGGTATATATTAGATTTCAGGAGGACTGCAACTGCCATTTCATCCATGTTTTTTCTTGGCCTCCTCTTGTGTTTTCATAGACAACATTTATGGTGCGCAAGCCTGGGGATTTGAGGACTCATTATCCCTGGAGTGCTATGGAGCTACCAAGCTATGGAAGGCAGGAACAATAAACATGTGGCATTAACATCCCAGAGGCTGTAGGTATGTAAGCCTGTTGAAATGAATGTGGGTAACTGTATAATATAAAATGGTCCTTTATGTGATTGATAAGTGCAGCAAATCAAATACAGAAGGGAAGTGGATTTAAACTGCAGGGCCCTTGAAAGATTGCCCTTTTTTAACACTACAGACAAAAGTTACACCATCACCTCTTAATTTCCACATTCCTCTAATACTATTTTAATTTAATGAATCAAATATTTTTTATTTATGTGGCTTACTCTCTGTTATACAATTCAAACAGACCCTACATTTATCCATCAGTGGCAAGCACTTGGCAACTGAAGCAAGGAAAAACTTTTGACAGCCATCAGCCACGACCAGCTGGGCCAAGAAAGTGGGATAGAGTTAGAGAAAGACAGAAAAAGATACAGACAAATAAAGAAACAAACAACATTTTAGCTGGAAAAACAGTTTATCTGTCATGATTTGGTTTCTTATTTTCAGAGTTTAGGTTTTCTTGTTGTTTTTAGTTCTCATTCTTGTCTGATGGTGTTGTTTCCCTTGTGTGTTTTCTAGGTTAGTGTTTCATGGTTATTTTTGTAACTTCATATCCTAGTGTTTCTTTATGTTTTAGTGTGTTTTGTTTCATTCTTGAGTTCTGTGTGTCTTCAGTGTTTCATGTATTTTATTTTGTAGTTGTCCTCAGTGTTGTGTCCATTCCTTCCTCTGTGTGTTTCCCTCCAGTGTGATTGCTGTCATTGTCTTCACCTGTGTCATTAGTCTCACCTGTGTTTGATTACCCATGTGTCTATTTAGTCTGTGTCTCTTCAGTTCTGTGTCAATTTGTTGTATGTTGTTGGAATGTCAGTTTTGCTCGTGCGCCCTGTTTTTGATCCCTGTGTTTTTTGTTGAGCTTTTGAAATTAAGTTTTGTTGCCTTGGGCCTTTTTGTTTAATTAAATATTTTTGGTTTCTGCGCTTGGGTCCACCTTCCTTGTTTTCCAACCGTCTGTAACATTATCTCTTGCCCACGTGTAAAAAATGTGGGCAAAAAATGCAATACACCTGCACACAGGAGCTCAACATGAACTTAGTTCAATATTCCCTTTCATCCAAAGCTTTAACCTTTCTTGCCCTTGCATACTTTATCAGAATAAACAGCATACATTCTAAGGTGTTTCCTGCATTTGGAAAAGGGTTTGATTTAAGATGTGTGGTTGAACTGAACTTTTACCAAACAGCGCATCACTCTGAGGTGAGGAATATCACCATAAAGCCAGCAGGATGCCTGCCTTATAAGTAACATATGATGCCCCTGGATCACAGAGATTTCCTGCTCTTCAGTCATAGTCCAGAAACTTTTTGTTTCTAACTGTTTACAGATGATCATCAGCCATGAGACGTGCTTTTTTAGATTAAGTAAAACCAAAATGTTAGTAAATCTGCATTAGCACACTAAGCCAATAAAAGACTGCTTTTCAAAGAAAATGTGAATTTTTGGATTTAATTGGAAAATAAAGAGCAGTTTTCTTCATGTACAATATCCCATGAGGCAAGAGATGTTTAAGTCAATATGGGTTGATCTCAAAAACATTTTTTATTCCAAGATACTGGTTTCCATAGAGGTTTTGTTTTTTTCAGGCTCTGCTGCCAGATACTGTTTAAAAAAATTATCTGCAGGGATGACTGCCAAACCAAATGCTGAAGCACAAACACGGATACAGGAAATCTACCCCAAAATACAGGCTTGAAGGTTTGACCTCTCATTGGCACTGACAGTTAACCTGTTCAAGAAAAGTATTTTTCCAGAGGCTGAGTTATGAGAGGCATGGAGTAAACAACATTTTCTGAGGACTACACTTAAGTCTCTTGTCAAAAAGCAATAACATAAATTAAAAATTGAATATGTAATTAGAATGATGCCAATGGACAGACTTGGCAAAACACGTCTGTATGTTTTTGAAGATGCTGTAATTACGTAGGTTTTGCATACTGCAATATTATGTCTATAGATTGTTCCTCTTGGAATTTTAGAAAGAGTAACTGTGGATGGAAAGTTTGTCACCTATGAATTCAACAGTTTGATATGTTTGCATGTTTCTATTTCATTATTGTACCTTTCAACCAACCTGTGGCTCCTTTCCCGCATGTCATTCCCCACTCTCTGTCTCCCTGATTTCCAACTCTATCCACTGTCCTATCTCTACAATAAAGGCACAAAAAATAAATCTTTAAAAAAAGAATGCATATTAACACATCTGGCAAAGCAGTCCTATTACACACTATTGAGAGGCTTGTTCATGTGGACATTTTGGTTGCCACTTGCCAGTCAAACCATACATCCAAATTAATTTAAAGCCTTCTTAATCCCTGCCTGCTGTGATTATTTATGCCATTTTGATTTTGATTCGTGGTCAGAGTGTCAGAAGAAAAAGACACAGCCATCAGCATTTGCGATGTATATCTGACCTACCTATTTATTTAATTTTGCAAAGGAATCTAGAGTCTAGCCTAACAGCATTGACAATGAGGTGTTTGAAACAATAAATGTAAATGTTCTTATAAACTGTGTATGGATTAAACTGTTATGCTTTAATATTCAGAAGTAGGGAATAAACCCATTCACCTTTGCCCTAATATTGCATAAACAAATGGATTAATTAGTCATGTTCCAGCAATTTTTTTTTTTTACAAATGCAGTGATGCAAACTCAAAGAAATCAGGCTTCTTTCTGCAAGAATCAGACACACATCAGATACAATTAATTAACGATCAGCTAATATGGGACTGAGCGTGTATAGGGGTCAATGTGACTTCTCTGTGTCATACAGGGTTTCAAGAATTTCAAACATTTTGTAGCAAGGTTAACTATCACCCAGCTCCTTCCACTTTAGACTGTTTAGACTTGTAATCCTGTTGTCATGTTAAATAGCCTAACTGGTGCCATGAGGTAACATTCCTTTAAAAGTGCTGTGTTGAATTCATGCATTTTTGTGTTGGGTTTTCTTTCTGCTGAGGGTGTTCTAGGTGTTTTCCTTTTCCGTGGGGACACATAATAGCCTAATGTTTGTTTTGAATAAAATAGCCAACCATCTTATGGTTCTATTTTTGGTTGTGACAAAAAATATCACATGTTCCAGGGTGAAAAGATAATTCACACAATTCTGACAGTTATATAGGCTAGGTGAATTGACCTAAATAATAAAGTTGTCAGGCAGTCTATTTAGCTTCATTTAGCATTTAGTTCCTTTTTAGATATCAATATAGGCTATAGGCTAAATAAGCAAGAATAAGCAAGAATAAGCGTCAGAAACGTAGATTGAATGTGGGAAAAGGGGAAATGAATAAATCGACATAAGCTTCAAAGTCTCCATTCAGTTAGGCTAGATGAGGTTTTAGCGCCTCTTAGTGGTTATTTTATAGTAAAACTAGAGGTTGATAAATGTGATGGTTTTAAGCCTATAATAGGCATACATAGCCTGATAGTATACAGACGAATGTAGGAAGCTTTTATGCAGTTCGCCAACAGTCGATGTTACTATTGCAAACTTTATCTTGCGACATCCTTGTCTTATGGATTCAGGGATCTGATTCCACCTGAAAATCGGCTAATAGGCCTACAGCTCTGAGACATGAAAAATAAATGTTGACATAAAGGCTACACATTGGACTGAGCAAGAAGGAAAAAAAGAAGTAAAAAGGAACTAGGTGGTTACAAGAAAACTCAGCCCAAGATGAACAAGCTATCAAATATAGCCAATAGGGCTGTTTACATAGGCCTATGTGTGAGTAGCCTATACTAGGCCTATGCCTGTTTTTTATTATTATCATTTAAATTCTTTCATCAAAGATTTATCAATTGTTTTAAAATCAAGCATAGGCTACGATCCTGAATAAGTCTGCAAACCCAACTTTTTGCTCTTTGAAGCAGGCCTAGTGTTTTATTTTTTATTTTTATTTTTTTTAAGAATAGGCTATAGTTTATAGGCTTCTTTTAATCGGTATGGATAGCCCACATGGCCTATATTACGGCAACAAAAACAAAATAATAACATCTGTCCGTTAAAGTGATTTGATATTGACTTAAATAATTCACACAGTAGAACGTTTCCTCGTTGCCATGACAACAGGTGTCAAACACTGCTTGTAGCCCACTGCTGACTTCACGTTGTTCTTGTCCTCCTTTGGTTAATGATCCTCTCATACAGTTCGCTTCCATGTCAAAGTACAAGGTAAACAGAAAAAACAAGATGCAAATGTTGTTTTGTAGACTTTTAAGTGACAATTTAATGCATGTGATAACTAATGCTAGTTGCATCGATTTTAGCTAAATGTTATGAGTAGGCTACTACTGTTAAACAGCTTTACTGAAGAATACATAGGAGTAGTTTCTACCTATTTTAAATAGTTAACAAGTTATAAGGTAGTGGAGTAATGGCCAGTAAGTAGCATACCAGAGGAGATGTGAAAGAATCGATATATCTGTTTTCTTTCTTCACCTTTGCAGACATCTGGAAACAAAAATGATTATACGAAAACTGAGGAGCGGTGAGTATTTTCTCTGAAGTTGGTTGCAAACAAAAGAGTTTACGAGGGCTGGTTAAATGTTTCAATGTCTTCTCAGGGAGGGTAGAAGTTGTGTGCGTTACAAATGTAGCCAACTCAACACCATACAGGATGTCCTGCGCCAGAGACCAGGCTGGTTTGAGGTCAAAGAGTGAGTTGGGTTGACTTTTAGAATCACATTAGCATCCCTGTCATATTTGGTACTTGTCTGAAATGAACTGTTTACCTCACAGTGATGGAGAGTGGGACTTCAACTGGTGTGATGTGGGGTGGCTCAGGGAGAATTTTGATCACTCTTACATGGAGGAACATGTAAGGATAAACCATTTCCGTAACCATTATGAGGTGAGCCAGCATCCGCCAAATATCTAGAAGTAGGCCTACCATGCTATTTAACTCAACAATCATTGAACTCCTTTTCTTTGTTTCTATGTTTTATGTTACAGCTGACACGCAAAAACCTCATGGTGAAAAACCTAAAAAGATACCGGAAGAATCTTGAAAGGGACGTGGGCCGAATGGAGGTGTCCAAATGTGATTTTTTCCCCTGCACGTTTGCACTGCCCAGTGAATATCATCTCTTTGTAGAGGAGTTCAAAAGATGCCCTGGCAGCACCTGGATCATGAAGCCGGTTAGCTAAAGCAGCCCACAGATATTAGACCCAGACTTAAATTCAGCTTGGATGACCCCTGAAACTGAAGTTAAGTCAGCATATTATAGCACTCAAGCCATGAAAATTAACTAAAATGTTTTTTAGGTGGCAAAATCTCAAGGGAAAGGTATTTTCCTGTTCAGGAAACTGAAGGACATAACAGACTGGAAGAAGGTAACATGAATTTGTACTTTGAGGAAAGTGGGTGTAAATTAAATAACTATTAACAGAAAAATTGGGCATTCAGGACAACATATTTCAGTTTGCCATTTTACTGTATTCCCAGGATGGCACTCGCTCAGAGGATCAGAAGGATGCAGCTCAAGTGGAAAGCTACGTGGCACAACGCTACATAGAGAACCCCTACTTAATAAATGGCAATGGAAAAATAAATGTCAAATCTATTTAAGAAAAATCATGCAAAGAATGTTCAAAAATTTGTCAACAATAGGAACAGTGGACAAATGGAAGTTTTATATAATTTCTTAAACACTTTTTGTTGTTTTTGTCCCACAGGCAGGAAATTTGATCTAAGGGTCTATGTACTTGTCACATCAGTACGTACTGAACTTCATACATCATTTTATTTACATAATATATATTTTTCTGCATGGGTAATTACATGTCCATTTTTTCAGTATATTCCCTTGAAGGTCTGGCTGTATCGAGATGGCTTTGCTCGCTTCTCTAGTACCCGCTTCTCTCTCAGCACTATTGATGACAAGTGTATCCTTCTTTTGCTGGAATTGCGTTTTGTTCTATTCTTTTGAATTTGATTTGTGTGCATAGCCTAGTTTAGGACTTATTCATATTCAGAGTTTAAATCAAAGTCAGCTTTAAATAACTTGTTTTGACCCAATTTATGAGTATGTTTTTTGTTGCATTCTCCACTTTCCTGTGGAAGAGATAATTCCATTTAAATTCCCACATTCTACTTAGTGCTCTTTTACAGATATGCATCTCACAAATGTTGCTGTCCAGAAAACGGCACCAGACTATGACCCCGAAAAGGTAACAATTAGATTGAGTCTTATCAATAGTTTAAGATAAATGTTCTGCATATTAAAGTTTTTGAAAATGAATCCTCTTTAAACAATTCTGTATTATCTTTATTACTACAATTTTCATTCATCCATATATAGGGATGTAAGTGGCAGATGCAGCATCTTCGAAGATATCTGACTGCAAAACATGGCAGAGAGACAGTTGAAACCCTGTTTAAAGAGATGGATAACATATTTGTCTGCAGTCTACAGAGTGTACAGAAGGTCATTATAAACGACAAACACTGCTTTGAGCTCTATGGGTACGACATCCTGCTGGATCAGAACCTCAAACCGTAAGTGCTCATATGGTCTGAAAATACACAGGATACTTATTTACAAGTACTGTATGAGGAGGAAAGCACATGCAGTGACAAACAAACAAGGCACAACTTTGGTTTGCTTTCCCTGATAACTAAAAAAACAAAACAGTAAATCTGCTAATGGTTGACTCCAGGAGTTGCCATGTTGGATCACTTCATAAATCTGCACGGCATATTTAAAAAAAACTGACCAAAAAATGTAATAATCCTGCTGTAAATAGTAATCCACACTCTCAAGAGAAAGCCTTTCCAATATGCAAATCAAGCAACATTTACTCACTTGCTTCTGTCCACCTAAGTTTCCGAGCTGCTTAATGCCGACCAGAATGCTAAGTAAATGTTTGGTGAATGTCATCACCTTCTGTCTTTTTCTTTGCAGGTGGTTAATTGAGGTGAATGCCTCTCCGTCACACACACCGAGTAGTCAAGAGGATTATGAGATGAAGTGTCGGGCTGCTTGAAGATACTTTGAATGTTGTTGATATGGAGGGAAGGTGAGAGCATCATTTTGCTGTTTTGTCATCAGAGAAAAATGTGTGAGGACGTCTTGTCTCAACATTTACTTGTCACATTATTTTATAATTCCTGAAGAAGTTTGAAAGTGTAATCTTTTGAACCTGGGTCATGGTATATATGATTTATTTATACAGTATATATATATATATAGTAAAGATACATAGGGACAATGGGTGGAAATGTATCTGGTTGTTGCTGCAGAGGTGCCAGTTAAACTCCTGCTGAAGTGGCCTTGACCAAAGCACTGACTCCCAAACAACCCTGGGGCTGTCCCCTGTGTACCTCTCTCTGACATCTCTAATTCAAACTATGCCCACAGGAGCCTGTTAGTGCATGTGAACTGAGGGCCTATCTGTGTTAGTAGCATGTCTCCTAATAAAATCAAAAGTAAATGTAAGAAGAGACAGTTACAGATTGTGTCATAAACATCTTTTTACAATTTTCCTCAAATCACACAAGGTGACCGCTGTACAACAAATAATGAGTTCATTTGATCTCTATCTGTTATGCTGGTGCATTGACCTAATTGACTGTGTTTGTGTTACTTATTAGGCTTACTGGCAGAGAGAAAAGAGTGGGTGGCTATGATCTCATGTGGAATGATGGGCCTGTCTTCAGAGAGGATATCAACATGGAATCAATCGGCATAACATGTGTCACTGCCAACACCCACTTAGGTAATACTGTCAGGCTAATAAAGAACAACATTTCTTTTATTTAAAAAAATTGCAAGGTTAATAGGTTATAATTTTTCATGAATTTCTGCAATTCTTGACCTGCTTATCTTTTACAGGGTGTGTGAATGACAGAGAGAAACAGCTACGCCAGCTTCTAAAACCATATCCAGGCCAGAAGAGGACGTGACCCATTCTTTTCATGTCCCACTAAGTGCTGTGCTTAGTAGTCTCTTTGAGAAGAGCAACTGAAAAATCTAAGTGATATTATGATTTGTGACGATCTGTTCTCATCATCTTAGTTAAACAGTAAATACTGATTGCGAATCAATGAAAAAAAAGAAGCTAAACTTTCAATTGCAAAACTTGTTATACTTTCAAATGTAGAGTCACTTATTCTAACTATACTAAAGTCAATGGTAAATAAACTTGAACTTGCATAGGCTCTTTTCTAGTCTTCACACTACAGTGTATGTCAGATTCATTGACTGATGGCTGCTGTGTAATTTGCCCAACTTCCAAACACTATTCCATTCACTCACATTAACACACCAATGGCTATGTATTTTTGGATTCAGTATCTTGCCTAAGGACACTTTGACTGTGTAGATGTAGACATGGTAAAGAAATTTCAATCAGTAGAGACTTAATTATGAGTGAACATTTATCTAATTTACAAGTTTGGAAAAAAGATAATGTGCAATGTCTTTGAAGGTAGAGAGGCTGACAGCAGGATAGGAGTCTAGACACTGACGGTTGTGATCAATCAATCAATTACTCATTATTTGTAGAGCACAAATTCATAACAAGTTTTATCTCAAGGCGCTTTACAAAAGAGAAGGTAAAAGACCATACTCATTGTTAAGAAAAATGGGATAGGGGGAGATGGGATAAGATGAAGTGTGCAGGAGCTGGAGCTTCTGAGGAGCTGGACCTCGACACTTGAGATGGAATGGAGGTGACTGGGATGGAGAAGAGTTGCTGCAATCAAAATGAAATGACAAACTGCAAAAAAGAGGAGAACAGATTTCAAAATACAACAGCAGGATGGTCGATAGATGTCTTGGTATAATCTGGTTGTATTTAGGACTAAGAAGAGTTAACCCCCGTTATCAGCTGATCACCTGAGCAGGAAGACAGAGGGAGAGGAAGAGAGGGAGTGAATGTATGAATGAGTACAAAACAATCTTCCTGCTTCAACTTACTCTAAGCTTCATTTGTGAACCGTGTAAAATGTCTTCATGCGTTTCAAAGAATGTCCAATACATCAGTTTCCCTTGAGTGCAAAACATTTATTTCTATGCCGTCAAATACTTGCATTCAACATGGTGAAAATACGTACCACAATCTTTCTGCGTGCTTGTCAACATCATTTACACATTTATAATATCACCACCATTTCTGGTCCCTTGTCTATGGCTTTTATACTTTACATGAATATTAAGGAGATGTGCAATATGAATACATATCACATTATTAACATTGCAGTGTTTTCATGAATTCGGTGTGCATGGTAAATCACAACAGATAGAAAAGACACTCTAACCAGTGTTCTTAAATCTTCAAGTTTGCAGTGGAGGATGGAGGGTATATGTGTAGACAACAACCTCTTACAGCAAAACAGCAACGATGTGTTTAAATTACACTTCAGCCTAAGAATGACCCATTGATACATTATATTACATTCAGCTTTTTAGCGAAGTATTTTGTATTTGTGCATGACAATGTAAACATGATAATGACAATGGTGAATACAGGTCAACCACAACACTTTTCATAAATATAACTATGGTATATAAAATTTGGAAAAATATGCATTTACATTCATAGCAAACATAACATTGTCTTCAATGATAGAAAGAGCTCAGTTCTATGCAAAATACAGGATATCATCATCAACTACAATTCAAGCTGTTCAAATATGAAGAGCCCTTGTAACCAAAGTTATAAATCCATTGCACAAATATATCTGAAACGTACATTACTGTAGTATAACACCACTTATTGCGCCACCTTCATTTCAGCCTAAGATGCTCCAACTGAACATGTGACTTAAAACATGAGGCACCAAAGAAAGGATAAAAAGCAACATCAAGTAAAGTAAAAAGCACTGAAAACCAAGACATTCTAACATTCAAACTACTTATTACAGCTACGGTTGTATTGGATGATGAAAATGCAATGATGTATGTTAAACTTCACTATGGATTACTTATGCCGAAAGCTGTTAAGTAGTTCAGTAGATGTTTTGTTCAATGCCTAGCTATTCCACCAGTAGTAGCACAAGGAGACCTGACTGTGAAGTGCAAATAACTGTAACAACACAGAAGCGTTGCTTTTAAACTCCTGTCTTGTTGAGGGCCATAATTATTCTTCTGTCACCACAGAGTTTAACATTATGACTGTACCATACATTTTGAATAAATACAATATCTAAATATATGTTTCATTTAAGTGTTTTTCTTTGACGTGACTGCTGTCTCTATTCTAGCTGCTCATGTTAGTTATGACTTTTGTAGGCTGTACATCACTGATTTAGACTTCTGTACAACAGTTAGTTTTACACAGAAAGCAAGCAATGGTTCAAGCTCCTGGACCAAGTTAACACTAAGTAAAGTGCAATACTGTAAGTGTACACAGATTACTTTGCGACAAAGTGAACATTTTTTGTTTTGCCATTCTGCTTATTACTAAGCAGTGCTTTGGAGATAGACTGCGGCTCTTTAGCCGATCTCTTCATTGAAGTTTTAGAGGCCTGACCTCCCGTCTCCTGCCTCTGCCAGTCCTTCTCTGCTCTCTTAGAGGTGATGACCTCTCTCTTACTTGCAGCAAAGACACGTTTCTCTGCACCAGCGGCTTTACTGCCACCAGACTCCTTTTTAACATCTGTCTCAGAGTTAGCTCTGAGGCGGCTTTTCCTCACTGGTCCTCGGCTGTTTGGGTTGCTTCCAGACTCCTGGGGTTGCTTACGTGCATTGCCTGCAGCCTGCATTTGTCTGAGATGACTCCTACCAGCTGAGGGGCTAACTGGGGTGTGGGCTCCTCCTTCTCCACCACCTTGTCCTCCTGGGCTTCTACCTTCTGTCGAAGTTGCTCTGGTCTCACTGCTGCTCCTTTTTGCTGGTGCCCCAGGTCTGGCTCTGTGCTCAAGCAGTGGGCTGAGCCTCGAGTGGCGCTGGTACGCATTGGCAGAGCAGCTCCCATTGCACAGCGGGTAGCGAATGTGACAATGTGGGCAAACTGGGAAGCGGGAGTGCTGGGCTGAAGCAGGTGATGGAGGGTTGTTTAAAGGTGCCAATGGGAAGGCTCGCTGGCTTTGCCGCAGCCCTTTGGGGGAGTTGAGACGAGATGATGGTGCTGTGTGAGGCCTGTGCGCAGGGTGTGCGGTGGTAGCAGAGGGAAAGCCCTGTGGTCTTGGTCGGCTCCCAGGCGGCCTGTTGCTCTCTGCTTGCACTGTTTGGATCTGGAGCCACTCCAGCTGCAGCAACCTCTCCAGGTACTTCTCTAAATTCCCTACAGGCTTGGGCCTGGGGGCCCCACGGCCCTCTGTGTGGATAAAGACGGCAAGCTGTCTCAGGCTCCAGCTGTTGAAGGGCGGCGGCAGAAAATCTGTGTAACTGTAGCTGGGTTTGTCACTCTCACTTTCATCACCCACACACCCTCGGGGTCCCGGGAAGTCAGGTGGAAAGTCATTGGTGTTGATGACCTCGGCCCTGAGGTTGAGGTGAGGAGGGGTACAGGGGGTACATGGAGAGGGCAACACGGGCAGTCTCTCAGAGTCTGACAGATCACTAGCACTGTCAGTGTCAATATCCTTCTGGTTGTAGTGATGCTGTAGGGATTCTGGTGTGGGGGCTGGGGAGTGTGACAGAGGGTGGGATGGCATGTGTCGCAGACCGGATATTGGGGAGAGAGGCAATGAAAGGGCTCGCCGATTTTTACCCATTGCTCCTCGATTTGGGTGTAGCTCATTGCTGCATTGTGTCAACCGTTGATTTTCACGTTTCTCCTCTTTTCTGTGCACAGATAAGTGTTTTCTAAGCGGAGGTCTTAAATCTTCTTCTTCAGGGCTGGAAAGAGACAGACAAGTGTAAAAAAAAAAAAAAAAAAAAAAAAAAAACTCTTTTGGGATTTAGGGATTACTGTAACTGAAGTATTCAGTGAGACTGCACACATACCTGGAGAGTTTGCTTGTATTCCTTGCAGTGGCGGTTTTGAATCTGCCTCCCTTTGACTGTGCACCCTATAAAACCAGCATTATGTAAACAGTTTGATTATTTCTGGCTGTAATTGTATGAGTTATACAGCCCCCAACACATGCTGCATCCCTGCCATAGATGAAAAATAATACATCTCTTATTCACCACAATGACACTTCCTCACCTTCTGCACTGTGGTCAGCGTGTCCTTTTCCTGACCTGGTCCTGGTCCTTGGGGACCATTTTTCATTTGACCCACTGCTTTCTTCATCTTGTTACCTTTCTTTGAACTGTGGAAACATGATAATGGTATATGTCATGCCCGCGCCCCCCCACTGCCCCCCACCGCCCCCCCAGCCTTTGCCTCAGACAAGCATGACAAGCAACATCTTTGAATCCCTTGTGATGTGGTGCTCACCTGGTTACTGGCACACTGTTCTCGGTGTTTTTTACTCGAATTTTCTCTTTGGAGACGACTCGTTTCAGCGTCGAGGATGCTGTGCGTTCCTGCATGATGGGCCCCATGTTGCAGGTCGCACGGATGGGGTGTTGTTTAGAATCCAGCACAATCAAAAGTTACGGTGGCTAAAGAACCCAGCCGACATCCCGGATCATGTAACCTATTCTGAGAATGAGGCTAAAAACACCAGTTTTCTCAAAAGTGCTGCAATGCATCATGCGCATATGTCGACGCGAGTTTATTCACTGCAGGTTCAACTCGTCCTTCTGCTTGTCGCTGACTCTGCCTCCGTTAAATGTCAACGCGGCGACCTTTTTTTTTTTTTTTTTTTTAAAGAATTGGTGACAGCTGACGCATCTCTCTCTCGACTATCATCCTCCTCGCCATTAAAGATGCAAGATATTCCGACAAGCGCATACGCTTTGTTTGGTCTCGCCTTCTCGAAGGAGCAGATAGGTTTGTTTACCTGCTGCTGACTGGCTGCTGCCTTGTAGTGGGGCATCAGAAGTGCATCATGGGACTTGAAGTCAAAGTACACTAGTCGCGCTTTAAATGAAATATTCAAACCGTCTCTGGTAAGTCTACTTACAACAGATGCATAATGAAGAATAAAAGTGGCTTAACAGCGCGTCTTAAACTCGAGGGAAGAAGTTAGACAGGAAACACACTCGGGTAACGTCACGTCAAAATTACTCAATCTCCCACGCATCTCCAGTGATACTTTGCTCCCTCATGTAGCTTCCTGTTAACTGCGCATATGATTGCTGATCTCCATCGAGTCACGATACGGATGTGTATGCTGGTTGTGGAGTAGTGACGATGGTTGGGAGTTTTAAATTAGGTCATGCGATTGTGTCCAATAGCGCACGGAAACGCGCAGCTCCAATAAACGCCACAATAAATGGAGGATCAAGCTTAAGGCGACATACTGCTGCTTTTATGTAACTACCGCTTTACATTGTTTTTATTCGGGGTGACTTCGGCGTCTGCTTTTATTGAAGCGTATGAAATGCTCTTTCGGTAATGCTACACATGTTCACAGAGTGTAGTGTGCTGTAATGCTTTTAGGCACGTAGGCTTCTCAGCACACGCCCACTCTGACAATGAGAATGTTCTGTGCTGTCAAACTACAAGACATGTTGTTTTAATCAAATTTGTCGCACGACGTGGACTACATCTCCTAACTAAAACTTGTGTCTTTGTCACAGTGCATTCTGTCAGTGAAGATTTTACATTATGCTTCACAACTTTGTTTTACAGGTGAGCAGACCCCAGTTCTCACCGAACATGGAAGGGTGGTTCATTGGACACGAGAGGATTCGCTCTTCAAAATCTGAAGAGCAGATATCCGGCTTGTGCAAAAGAATCTCAAGGCCCTGCATGACCATCAACCTGACTGAAATGCTTCGAGCCGACAAGTCTCATGAAGTAAAGAAGCCGATTCCAATCCGCCCCCCGAGCCCAAGAGTCTCTCAGCCCAAAAAACGAGAGTTCCATCACAGTCCATCCTGTGAACCACCGCCGAAACCCATCATCCGACAAAGGTCACGCTCTCTGCCCGCCACCACACAGAAGAAGAACAAATGCAGAAATGTTGGTGTGCGGTTTGTTGACTCTTTGGGGCTCGATCTTGAAGACATCAGGCTTTTTAAATCAGGAGAGGATCCATTTGTCCCCCATCATGTTACCTTCAGATTGTTGATGGGTGCAGAATTAGCTGATGGAAAGCATCTGGAGATATCCATGCCGTATTTGAGGCCGGTTTTTGCCCAACAACCTGGTGACCAGCCAGGGTTCCTGTATCGTCTTCATCAGCAGAAAGTTTGTCTGGAGAGAGTCTTGTGTTTTGAACTGGGTGTAATAGGAATCACCCAGGTCCTCAATCTGGACTTTGAGAAGGAAGTCACAGCTCGCTATACATTCACAGAGTGGGGAAGCTGTACAGAAACTAAAGCCTCCTGGGTGTCAGCCATCACTAAAACCTCAGAAGGAGGCAGGGAGCAACTCAGTTGTGACACATTTCGATTTCACCTACCTGTTCCTCCATTCCTCCAGCCAGGTGCAGTGTTACAGTTTGCAATAAAGTACAAAGTGCACGGGACTGAATACTGGGACAACAATAATGGAGAGAATTACAAGTTAGTTTGCCATAACTACAAGCTCACTGTGCCAAAAGAATGCGAGGACAGCATGGTGCACTTCTTTTAAACTAAATGTAGAATTTATTCAGAGCACTTTATCACCGTTGTCTGTATGATATCAATAATGCGTAACTTCATAGTCACACAATCTTCCTTTTGTTTGACATGTGTAAACAGATGACTTCTTTGAATGAAGTTTGTTCATATAAATGCAAAACTCTGAGCAAACTTTGCCACAATGTAATAACTACGCTCTTGCTCTAACATCTGAAGCCAGCTTTAATGCCACTATTATAGGTCGGTATTTCTTTTTTTTTTTTTTTTTTTTAAATGCACCTTATGTTTGTCACATTCAAAAAAAAGTCCCTTTATTGGAAAATCAGATGAATGTGACACAAAATAGTTTTATACTTTTCACAACTGTGGTGTTCTTAACAATTATGTGGCCTATATTATACAGTGATACTTAGGCCTAAGTATAGTATATTGATCCACAAATATTGAGTGAATATTTGTTCCATAAACTGTCCAAAATATGTCACAATATTTTTCAAACCTTTTAAAGAATATCAAATGAATGCTTATTTTGTTTAACAATAAAGAACACGTGCACACTAAACTCAGACAGTAATTTGATCATTACTATAAATGGCTGAATGGCTGTATAATATATTGTTTCTTTTTTGATTACTTGTTTTTATTCCCTAGCTGTGTTCAACACGCTGTTTTGCCTATAGACTACTGTAACTAGAACAACATCGAAATCCATAAAAAAAACAAACATATCAACCAGAAAGTCAATGATTTGTTGAAGAAAATGGACAATCATTTTTTTGTTTCTTTGTGATCTACAAATGTACAATCCAGTAATCAAAAATATGTCCGCATGGGGAAAAAAATCCTTCTTTTCACTGGAGGCAAATGTTCCTTTTGCTCATTTACGACAAGAAAGACAAATCCGTATTTGAAAACCCCCAAGTGAGTTTTACGGAAGTGGAAAAGAAGGCTACATGACGCGCATGCGTGCCAAACGAGAGACTTCGCGCGTTTTGTAGCGAACAAACAAGAGAAACTGGAGACCTGTCAAAACTATTGGTATATCATGTTTTGATGTTGGATATCACAGTAAGTAGAGTTACAAGAATAGAAATAGACCTATGGCACACACCCTATGCTTTAAATGACTCAGGGCCTGCTTCGAAAGTCAGCGTTATTAAGGTGAGGGAGAGGTAAAAGAAGGTAATGTGAAGCTAACATACGATGAGCTAAAGCCTTTTAAGGAGCTTGATGTTAAAGTAAAAGAAGCAAGAAAATATTTAATCTTTTGTCAGATGTATTAGACTATGGTAATAAGATTATGTCTCTAAATGAGGTGTTCTTCAAAGCTTTGAAGATAAATGTGATAAGGTTAGGTTGTCAGGGTAACTAATCACTCTCACCGAGCTGCGCAGTCAACACTGACTGTGTGGAGGTCAGGAGGCTTCCCGAGTAACAGTGGCTTATAATGTTGTACTTAACCTAGTTATAAATGAAGTTCATGTCCAAGTAGCATTAAGATCAGTAGGTTGATGTATTCACTTTACGTTACAGTCATTTTGGAAGACGACAGAGGCCAAGTGCCAGTGAGGCTTTTCTTTGGATGGAAGTATGGCGCCCAGTCAAAACACACAGGTGGGAAAAACAACATTTTTACTTTTTATTTGTAACTAAAAATTTTTGTTGTAATGATGAGAAAGAAAACTTAGATGAACTCTCTCGTGTGCAGCTTGAGAAAGTCGTTGATGAGGTGTTAAAGAGTGGAGATGTCAAAGCTCTGGGTGTATTCTTGCAAGGGGACACAATTGAAGGGCCCCCCTTCAGATGTTCCCAACAGTTTCTTACTAAATTGGATAAACTTATCAGCAGGGTAAGATGAAGCCAAGCACACTCACCAATATGCAACCATGTCATGTTGTTATAAGTTGTAGTGAACCCATATGTTTATTGTCTATGTAGAGTTTGGAACGAAAAGAGTCAAAATCAGCCAGTTTGGGACTTGGTATTCTCTACAAATGTGGGGGAAACCTAAAACTACCTGGTGGCGGCCAAGGGCTGTCAGGACTAATAGCTCAAGGCCTGGTCAAAAAGATAAGTATGCATCTTATACACACAGTGTGTGAGTGCTGTGTAATCAAATGTACCTCAGTGTGTTTATTGATTTGTTTCTGTGCACATGGTGCAGTGGTTTGAGAAATGCAGGCAAATGTTGATCCAGTGTGGCCCCCAGTGGGATGAGACCTTGTTCAACCTCTGTGAGGACTTCTTTGAAGCCTTAATGGTGAGCTGATGGTTCACAGGAAAACATATGTTGCATAATAAAAAACAGTGTAGTATTGTGAGAGTTTAAAGTGTAAAAGTGCCTTATATCCTCTGTTACAGGTGGTTCATGAAGCATGCAAAGAGGGTTTGTTTGGAACATTTGTTTCTTATTATCTGTTCAATTCTCAGTTTGTGTGTTTCATTTTCAACAACCCTTTTAGGTTTAAATCAAAGCAATGCTTTTATGTAATAACTTTAATGATACACTTCAGTGTTTAAGGAAAAAACTTTTATCAATTAACATTAATACACTTACCGTACTTGTTTGTTTTTTCAGGAACATACAAAATCACAGAGTGCTTTATGAGTCCTATTGGTCAGTTGGCAGTAGACCCCAGAATCTACATCCTGATCCAAAAAGAGGTTTGATGAAGTGTTAAGTCCTTTCATGGAGTAGTATAAAAAACAATCACTCAGGTTTATAAATAAACTTTCTCATCATTTTCAAACAGGCAATTCGTAAATTCAATTTCATTCTGGACAAAATCCCAGCGGAGCTGAAGAAAAAACGAAAGTTCCTTACATCCCAGGAAGCCTCAGATATCATGTATGTCATGATAGTAACCTCATAATAAAATCATTATTACTCATTTATTACAGTTTCCATTTGTTACTGAACATTTTCTTGTGATCATATTTATGCAGGCTCAAGATTGCTGGTCAGATATTGGATGGTGGTGGTATGTTTTTATCATACATAGTCGTCATCACTTCTCACCCACATGTAGACACAAGAAAAGTACAAGAGTCTTCCTTTTTTGTTTCAGATTATGACTTGCAGACAGCCCTGATGGAGGCTTTGTGCCGAATGGCCACTCTTGACCAGAGGAAGGAGTTAGCAGTCACATGGTTCAACATGGAGTATGTGGCCAGTGCCTTTATCAAGATCAGTGATTCAGAGTTTGAGACGGTAAAGAATGTGAAATTCATATAAGTGCATCACTTTTATTTTGTATAAGTATTGCTTATAGTTTAATAAATGAACTCAGCAATATAGAACTAATGTTTATTTGTGTGATTCTAGGATTGTCGCAAGTTCCTGAACCTGGTGAATGGGATACAGGGAGAGAAGAGAAGGTACACAGATAAATCAGTGCCTCAGATAACTTGGTCTAGAGAACTTGTAGGGGGG